TTACTTGAATTATTTGAATAATTTCAACCTGCCCAAATAATTTGAATGGGGAGCTGGATTTAGATTATTTAAATTATTTGCTTTAAATCCAGCTCCCCATTTAAATTATTTATATTATGTGAATATTTTAAATCCAGCTCCCTTATTTAGATTATTTAAAATTAAACCCAGCTCCTCATTTTAATTTTTCAAATAGGTTAAATTATTTAAGTTCTTCAAATAATTTACATCCGCCCAAATAATTTAAAGAAAGTAAAAATGGGAACTGGCTTTAAAAATTATTAAAATCATTTGAATAATGTAAAAGAAGCTAAACATGGGAACTGGATTTAAAACTATTCAAATCATCTAAATAATGTACACTTTTTTAAAGTGTTTGAATAACTCAAATCCGCCCAGATAATTTAAATGGGGAGCTGGATTGAAACTATTGAAATAAAGTAAACTGTCTGAAGTATTTAAAAAATGCCCAAATAAGTTAAATGGGGAGTTGGATTTGATTTTTCTTAATTTTTTTGGGATGATTTAAACTATTCAATAATTTAAACATTCATATGACTTTAGATAATGTAAATCCAGCTCTCTTATATCAAATATTTCCATTGTTTGGGCGGGTTCAAATTATTTGAAAAAATTTACATAATTTACATAATTTGAATAATTTACATAATTAAAACCCAGCTCCCCGTTTAAAATATTTAAGTGACGCTAATTAATTAAATAGTTTAATGAATTTTAAATCCGCCCAAAAAATTTAAATAAGGGAGCTGGATTTGAATTATTTAAATTTTTTCAAATCCGCTCAAATAATTCAAATAGTTTAAATAAGGGAGCTGGACTTCAATTATTTGAATTATTTAAATTGTTTAAATAGTTTAAACCAGCCCAAATATTTTACATGGGTAGCTGCATTTGAATTTTTTTAATTTTTGAGTGATTTAAATTATGCAAATATTTTGCAATTTAAATGATTCAAATCCAGCTCCCCGTTTAACTTATTCAAACTGTTTAAAGTATTTAAATCATTATAATCCGCCCAAATAATTTAAATAAGTTAAATAAGGGAGCTGGATTTTTTTTATTTAATCTATTTAAACTATTCAAATAATTTAAATCCGCCCAAATAATTTAAATGATTTAAATAAGGGAGCTGGAGGTAAGTTTTTTTATTATTTATTAAAACCCGCCCAAATAATTTCAACAATCTAAATAAAGGAGCTGGATTTAGTTTTTCTAAATTCTTGGGGCTGATTTAAACTATTTACATAATTTACATACATTATATAATTTAAATCCAGCTCCCCATTTCAATTATTTCAATTATGTAAATTATGTAAATTGTTTTGATTCGGTATATAATAAAGGAAAGAATAGAGTCGGCAAATAGACCTTAAAGGTCTCTCGCTCGTATATATATATATATGTATGTATTTGCATCCTGGACATCCCCATGTCCAAGCAAGCCTGGCTTTACGAAAGAAAGCAAGGGAATACTGATACCAGATTCAGCCATACGTATGAATTTAACCGTTTTCGCCCAGGCACTCTGAAATTTGATCGGCTCTTGTGACCTTGAGCTATTCATGTAGCCTTTTCATCTTTAAAGTCCTTGTTTTGCTTTACATAAACAGATTACTGCGTCTCCAGTTGTTTATAACGCTAGCGGCCCCATAAAACCTATAAGTATGATAACCATTTTATATTAAGAGAACACCTCGAATTTGCTCGGAAGAAGTAAAAGGCTTCCGATGCAAAGGTGCAGACATTGCTAAACTAATTCATGATAAATCAGAAAAATCATCAGAGATCATGTCTGAAATGCGTAGTGCGATGAAAAACAATCATCTTCGCTGGATACGTAGCGCGTGCTCATGCTGTCAAAAGCATGCTTTTATCCCCAGCGAGATGCAAAACATTCGTAAATGTTCTACAGTTTAGGGGATGTGTGTAATGTGTAGAATTCTATTTGGACATGAAAAGAGCTTGTCGACATCCTAATGAGAATGAAGGACTCCATCGTCTTAAAAAGAAGCAGCAAGTACACTCTTCGCTAAACAAAACGTTGCATTGTGGCACTTCTATTGCCAAGATATATTCTTGGTGATCTAAGCTCTTTACTAAAATGAGTCTCCTTCATATCAAATATTTACAGCACAATTCGAGTATGCCCAGATTCTTGCAAAAGTTTCTCATTATTTGGTTGGAAGTTGAAAGTCAAGCTCAGAAAATAATGCTGCCTAGGACACTCACGACTACAAATACCCTTTTCTACTGAGAGATGTGCATGTTCCAAAAAAGCAGATTTATCGGTATCTACAATGCGTTCCACGGTCTGCCATAAGCAGCAAGAATTCAACCAGAGCATGGATAGATCAAGACCGCTAATACCAAGCCCAACCCTCATACTGATGCATGAGCATCGCACTCATCCGCCACGGGCCAAAAAGCCTTGATGCAAAAACCTAAGCCCCAGGGCGACACGCCTTCTTTCCATATATCATATATCTCATCCTTCGTAGTAGGATTGTTTTTATTCACACTGTTCAAAATGGAATTTTTCGAGTGAAGCCTTCCTGTTAATACGAAATTCCGTTGAAAACAGAAGCCCAACACTTTTCATAGAAACCCTGGCATTTAGTTCCCATCAATCAGAATATGTGTCCCTTGTAAAGCAACTTTCGGCATGCGTTGCATGCAAAAATATTGTTAAATTTCATGGGAATCCTCCTGTCAATTTCCAGGGTGTTGCGCTTGGCGGTGGGCCGCCATGATTTAATTTCTGACATGTCGGTGTTCTGACTGTGACCGAGACTCCGCAGACCCATGCAACATGGAATACCTCACTATGTGTATTGCTTTATACTGTTGATGTTTCTTGGAGTGTTCCACGGGGTTAGAAAGCATTTTTGGACAAAAACTCACATCTGCAGATTTTGTAGTTGATTCTGTCATATTTGGACGGGAAACCGTGTAGCTTGTGCGAAGATTGCAATGTCAAACTTGAATTTGGGAGCGGGACCTTCCAAGATTGACAAGAATGGTGGACGCGTGAAACCCAACATCACTGCCAGTAGGAAATGTCCTTCTGAGTTGTGCCCTGCAACGTAGTACAGCGCGTTGTTCATGTGCATAATTTCCAAACAACGAACCCAGGATTTCTTGAATTACATGTTTTGTACATTGTAGATGCTGCAAATTTTCAATCATTCGAGGGATTGCGCGGTGCATCTTCGAAGATAAACCCCAGTGACCATAGCGCCGTCGAGACCCCGGCACGGCGCCGACCCGAACGCAATGTTGTTTTTGTGACGATGCAAGAGATGGTACTCCTCAGCCGGCGGGTTTAGAAATTGCAACTTTGGCATTCTGGTACTAAGGTGCAAGGGTGGTGTGTGCAAAAATTGAAAATTGACATCCGGAGAAGGCGTGTTGTTCCTCCTCTTGCCATTTCCATTATGCAAGTCTTCTGTTTGTTTGTTTGTTGCACTATTACATGGACGTAGATTTGGATGAGCATGTAAAAATATTGACTTCAAAAACGCACAAGAAGCAGGCCTGCACGGCAACGCTTTCTACAAAGTTGCATGTCATGATTTCAACGCAGACATCCATTTGGATATCCATATAGCGAGGGTCTTTGTTGACGAAGTGTTGTCCGTGAGCTGCTTGTTACAGAAGCCCCGCCACACAAACATGGACGACAAAGAAGACAAAAATGATAGTCTTGTCCGCGCTGGCTGGTTTGAAGCTCCTGCTGAGGTTCAGATTTGGGGATTCAGGAGTCAAACATGGAGAATATTTTTGTCATTGGGACAGTATCAAGATGTTGGCTGGCCTCTCTTTGCCAATCGTTCTTCAGAAGTTTGGTTGAAAACTTTATAAAACCTTTTCCAAGCTTTGCAAATTCCACCTCCCAGTGCGAGTAGATCAGCATTAGTTATACACAGCTGTTACGTCATGCCTGCATCATGGCGGCGCCCTTGCCGGATCCGCATGACACGGATTTGTCAGCGCGCGGCGCTTGGAGTCTTTGGGTGGAATGCAGTCGGTGGCGTCATGCAGCAACCTCACTGGCAGAAACTTGGGAGATGTTCATGCGCTGCAAGGTTCCATGCCCACGTTGACATCAGGCTTGTTGAAGGCTTGTTTTCTGACGGCCAGTTCACGAAGGCGGCTGGGTATGGGATATTGCTGTTTTCGTCAATCGGTTGATTGGTCAGGTACGCGGGATCGCTGATGCGATACATGGGAAGGTTATCCATTATCGTTCGAGAGCTGCTTGGGCAGAAAAAATGTCAGCAAAGACGAGCCAAGTTGCGTAGCATTTGCAACACAGCAAATGCAAACTCGCAACCAGGACGGCTTAGATGTCGTGGGGAAGAAGATGGAAAGTGCGCTTCCCGGTGAGTTGCCTTTGAGTTTTGTATTCTTGTGACTGGAAGTGGTTATCAACTACGTCATCAGGTGCCAAAGTTCGAAGCTAAGTTGTTCCAAGATTCCAACATGTTCATGACACGAAAAACTGCGGCCTTCAGGTGTGGCAAAATCATGGCCGTCTCGTAAATGTGGAGAACTTACTGGTTTTGAGCATGAAGGTCGTGTCGAGGTTGACATTGCTATTTGCAACTTGAGGAAAAAGAAGCACACAGGATACATCCCAGAGATCCACGCTCTCCTCACCCGGAGGACAGGACTTGCTGGAAGAATGAACTTGACAAGTGTGGACGCTTGCAGGATGCATTGACCGAAATAGGCGTGCTCTCCTATTTGAGGCCCGACCCGGCAGTCTGTGATATGGCTACATTCAACAGTCATTGGCAGGCGGCAACCTGATGTGCCTGTTTACTTGCCTGCTGCCCAGTGGAATGTTGTCAGCTAATCTGAGGATTGTGGCAAAGACAGCGGACAGTTGTAAGCGCACACGTGCATGCGGTCCTATTTCATAAAGTTGGAGCTGTCTGAGGGCCGGGTGCAAGCATATGAGTCCAGAATTTCTTAAGGTTGAGAATGCTGGGAGCCTTCCGTGATGATAATCCTGGTGGCAGCCAGCAGCCAACTACGCTTTTGGTGACGGAATTCGTTTCAGATGGCGAACTCTTTAACCAGGCAGGCGACCGTCTGGCTTTTTTCGTCATTATGGCAGAGTGATCCAACAGGTGGAATATTTCAAAGCCGTTTCGTGCAGGTTTCCACAGGTCGTATGGGCTCCGGCGAACCAGTGGTGCGAAGCGTCATGTTTCTGCCTGAGCGTCTAGTTTCTTATCAGCGTGTGGCACTGCCTAGTGCAGTGGCTCAGGTGGCAGCTGCTACACGGTGTCAACTATCTCCACAAACATCAAATAGGCGGGATGGCTGTGGATGTGTGTTGCAGATGTGGAACTCAGCAGGTTTTCACCTGCGAAAGTGGCAAACACGCTGTTGCAGGTCATAGAGACATCTCGTTAGAGAATGTTCTGATATCCTTCAACAGGCCCGCAGAGACCACGCATACATGCTGCGACGCCAAAGCACCTGTGCAGGGACGAGTTTCACGTTCGACTGATGGATTTTGGCCAAGCAGCCGGCCTCTGAGCAGATTGCTGGCCTTTGAGAGGCTTGCATAGAATAGTTTTCCCCGCATGCTTGGGCTGAACTTGGTCTGAGGTGAGAACGCGCTCAAATTGTGGAGCAGTGAACTTGAGGCGAGGCTGTTGCTGCTGAAACCTCCAGGCAAGCTCAATAGATTCGACAGGTACTTTCGGCCAGCCGGCAAACCTTACTACAGGGGCATGGTGCTGAGGGCGGAGGGACTGAGCTGACCAGCTGTGGTACAGACGTGAGGCCCGGAGTGCTATGTTCCCAGCGACCGGCCCCAGGCAAGCATGGCAAGCCTTATGAATTTTCTAGCCAAGACGTGCCCTTCGTTCTGCCGCATTGCAAGGTGCCTGTATGCTGTCCAGTGACAGCCACTGCAGGTGATGCCACTGGCCTACAGCACTTATCCGGTCGTATCAAGTTAGATGCTTCTCCTATGCTCCAGCCATCAAGGTTGTTTTCGTCGACAACCTCGGGGAGGATGGGAGACCAAATGGCTATCGAAACGAGGCTCGTTGAGTTTGTGTAGTGCTAGCACTTGCAGCTCGCTTAGCTCGCTCTGTGGCGGAAGGTGAAACTGCCGCCAAATGCCGTTCCTGGGCAGCTGGCAACACAGAAATCCGACCAGAGCTATCCAAATTCTTCTGGACTATGATGCCGCAAAGGACCTGCCTCGCCGACCTTTGGGGCTACGAGGCATGCTGTGACTTTGTTTCATTGCCGCGGACGCGCAGATGCTGCCAGGTGCCACCGCTGGATGTTTTTGCCCTCGGCGTTTGCTTTTTCATCCTCGCTTGGCGTGTGCCACCTTGGGGTTCCTTTGGCCTGTTTGACAGTTATTGGGAGCCGAGATTCATGGTAACGCGAAGCTGAGAGAATGCTTGCTGTGAAGGTCGAGCTCTACCACTCGACGCTACCTTCGCATATATTCAGCAGCGCCAGCTACTAAATGAGCGGAGGAACTGAAGCTGGCTGTGCCATGAATTCATCATTCATCTCTAGCTCAGGTGGAATTGAGAATCTTCTGGATGCCTGGAAAAAAAGACACCTTTCGACAGAGGTGGCAGCATGTGGTTGTCTGCTGCTCCATTGTCAATTGATGTGGTTGAATGAGAATGACAGGCGATGCAACTTCTTTCAGTCATGGTCGGAAGCTCAATGCAAGCCGCAGGCAACCTTGTGCACAGGATATCAGGCTGCCGTGGAAGGGCTTTTCTGAGACAAAAACCAACTTTTGTAGGGCAGCACGGCGAGCATTTGCAGCTGCAATTTGGTTCGAGTTGTGTTCTCAGGTTTCAGCTAACCCTGGCCAGAGGCCGTCTGTGCAGGATTGTCTAGCATCTGCGTGGTAGGCTCCTCAGCCGGCAGCATCTGTGGGCCTTTTTTTCCAGACGTGCTGTCAAAGCGCTTGGTGGACCTTTTTACAGGTTAGTCCCACTGCAACACGAAACAGCCTGGCCCTTGTTGCACGACCAAAGCATTTCATCTTAGTCCAACGCCTTTCTCAACATGCCCTTCGTGCAGAGCGTGTTATGGTCCAGGTGCCCACGCACCCTGCAGCGGCCATGGAGGATGGAGGACTCTAAAGAGCATGCTGCTGCAGTTGTCTGGTGCAGCTCCTGTGCGTCCTTGCAGATGCTGAGCCATCACATGTCCCAGCGGTCGATGAAATTGAGAACGACATGGCTCACATGAACTTGGACGCATCCTGGCTTGATTTGCTTCGCTGCATCAAATCAGAGAATGTCGGAACCTTGCAAGCCGCTATGGGATGGGTTGAGGCACCACAAGCGTGATGCCGAGGAAGGCACTTTGCAAAGATGCGTGACATGCAGTTGCATAAGAAGCAGGGTAACTGGTCAGGATAAGCACCGCCGTCCAACAAGAAATCAATTGTTCTCCCGGAAGACAACTTCTTGGCTTGTTCGTAAAGGGTTTCTCTGGCAATCTCTCAATATTGAGAGTTGTCCAGAGACGTGCAGATTGCATCGTTCGTTTGCAGATGACTTTCTGTTAGTATGTATCCGCAATTTTTTGCAAAGCTGTGCTCGACTGCATCGTTGACGGTGCTTGCAGCTGGTGTGCTTGATGGTCACTTGCCATCAGGTGGCTTCGGACCGTCCTACCGAGATGCTGAACTTGAGCTCAAGCCATGTGAACGGTTCACCTTCAATGTTGGACCTGGCATTGCAAAGCGAGTCTCTCATGTCCATCAAAACGGACGTGTCAGGCATTGGCTGGGCATGCGTCCTTGTTCATCTAGCTGGCCCGTAACTTACATGCATGACCATTTGAAGAGACTGAAGGTGTCACATCAACCGATTGTTCGCAATTTTGTACAAATCTCTGAGCAACAGTTCGAGACCGCATTCAGTACGAGCCACCATAAGTCGCTCAGTTAATGTAGCAGGCTGAAATCATCATAGCCGTCTACGGCTGCTGGAGCCTTCAGAAGCGCGGCTGTACCTGGAGCTGAGAGGTCATGCTGGACCGAGGCGAGCCTGAAAAAGTGTTTTTTTTTTTGCACTGGGAACGACGAGATTTAAGTGTTGCTTACTCAGCTCCAAGGCAGCCGAAACTCTGCGAGGTGTCTTTTTTAACAGAGTGTAGAGCTTGTTCCTCCATGCAGGAAGACAGTTTCATTCTGAGAGCGAACTTTAATGAGGCTTTGGTCCTCGCAGGAATTGCACGGAGGTACAGGTTGTTCCTGTTTGATGCTAGTTGCCCTGGCAGTGCTTCGAGCATGAACTCATGTAAGCGACACTTAAGGCAAGCTAGCCGAATTTCATACCATAGCTACTGGACAGTTTGATGTCAGGGCAGTGTCACCTGATAGCATGAATGCGAAAGGCCCTCTTGGTTCAGAGACCGGGAGCGGCTTTGTTTATCTGCCTCCAAAATTTTGTCCCCCTCATGCTGCTGAGAGGGGCATCACTGTCAGGAGGATTAGATGGTGGTGGGGAGCCCTGGGACGGCTGAGAGGAGCCTTAATGTGCTAAGCCCATTAAGCACTTGAGAGGATGGATCCGTGTCAGTGAGTATCTGGTGCCATGTAAACTCGCACTATTTCATGAGTTGCACGTGTCCGCATTGTTATATCGAAATGGGTTGACTGTACCTAGGGACCTAGTGCGCTCTAAGAACTATGTCTCTTGTTATTGTTGCTTAGCCTCCCAGGCAAAGCCCGAGCCATTTGGGGTTTCTCAGAGAGAGATTGCCATATGGATCTGGAGAGAGAGACCGGGCGGAGCAAGCGAGCAGCCCCTCCGCTGGCAAAAGCTAGAAGTGATTCCGGTTCTCCTGCATTGCTCTGACTGTGAATGTTTGTCTTCGAGCTGAATCTGCTGCTGTATCCTTATTAACTCTGCTCACCATCAGCGTTGTTGTTTGGTTCCTGTAGTAGTTAGACACACCTCTGTAGCCGTTGCTTTGACACATCAAATTTCAATTGTTCGTCCGCTCTTGGAAGTCGGCAAAAAGTCAGGCTCAAGTTCAAACAATGGACGTGCGAGAAGGGTCTGCCAGGCATTAGAAGCTGTTATACGAGAGCTGTCAGTCGGGAGCAGATGGCGCAAAAAATGCCGAAGATATCCATGACTGAAGAAACCCCAAACCACATGCTGCCACATTTCGCTGACACGAAGCCATGAGCACTTCAGATCGGTTGTACCTGGAAGACGCCTGCCCTACATTGCAGAGACTACTGCAGAGGCTTCCTGGGGGATTTGGGGACAGCTGCGTGAACTTGATGAGCCTCAAAAGGCAGTGCATGAGGCAAGTCGAGGCCGTTCTCAGGGTGCTTCTCCTTTGTCAAGTTTCCTTGTGGTTCCGAGTCCACAGTCAGCTGGGAGCAGTACGTTACATGCGGATAGGAAGAGTTCAGATTCCCTTGTCAACATGAGATGAAGGAAGACAAGAATTTGTGAGTCCTGCGCGCAGTTTGGTCGACGAGCCGGGTAGCAAGCTGGATGACAGTGACTTTTTGGACTTTGAGGCGTTGTGCCACCTCAGGAAGCTGCACATAAGCTTAACTTGCGAGCAAGGTGGGCCAAGCGCTTTTGTGACGCAGGTGGCCTTCTCTACTGCGGTCGACTGCGAGACATTCGTATTGAAGGTTCGTCAAAGCGGGCGTCTCTAAATTGTTTCGTTTGAGGTGCACGAGGTTTGTAGAAAGCATCGTGTTGCTGGGTCTCAGGCTTTTATTTAAGCGGACCTACTCGTACCACCTTGATGTCAAATACGCGAACTGAACCCTAACAATGCACTCCTTACTCCTTGCCTCAATCCTGGCTCTGGCCAGGTATACTACGAATTCCTGGCCGAAGTCCTCAAGCATGGGTCCAAGGACAGCTGCTGACCCTTCTTTTCATCATGTAGCGTAGTGAGCGGCCGACCGCAGGAGCTCTTGGACCAAGTTTGGGCCGGGCTTCCGCTTCGCTTCACCTCTGTCTCGGCTACGGAGTTGGAAGTGGTGCTAAAGGTGACTGCTCTGGCAGAGAATCAGGAGGTGGTCACTTGACTTGATTGGAAGTCCGTTTGATTCAATTCCAAATTTTCCAATCTTATATAGAGGCTTGTTTGATGTCTGGTGATTAAAGGGGAGTGGTGAAGAGGCAAAGCGCTGCGTGCAGCAAGTTGCCACAACCCGTGTTTGGCTGCCCCTCAGCTGGCAAATGTCGACGTGAATCAGTCCGACATCGCATGAACGCCGTAGCTGCAGCCGCCGCAGGCTTGTGGGGCCTTTGGTGGCTCCCTTGCGCTGGCTGCGGGATGCTGTCGCGACGGGTGACAAGGCGGCCGCTGCTGCTCCGCAAAACGCTCAGCAAGCTCGGCGGGATGCTGCTCGGACTTGCCCAAGCTTCAAGTCAGCGTGCGGCATGTCTCTGGCTCGTCTCTGACGTTGAGATTCTAAATGTAAAGCAGCCGAGGCCATGGGGCATCCACCTGCACCAACAGTGCTGCATCTACGTCGACAAGAAACCTGTTGCATTGCCGGCTGCTTAGACCCAGCCTTGTGCTGGCTGCACATCTACTGGGGCTATGCTGTGCCCGGCTTGAGGTACCAAAGGAAGACCGCATCCTGGTTATCTTGTCCATCCACCTAGATGATGACGTTGATGTTGCATTGGGTAGAGCATTTTGCTGATGCCTCAGTTGAAAGGCGAATTGATGAATTTCTTTTCAATCTCTAAGATGAGGCCTGGTGTAAGAATTTGTTTCTGCGAGAAGCAGTCAGCTTCCCAATTCCGACTTCCTGGTCCTGGCGACTTCTTCTCTGACTGAGGCCAGGAATTTGCAGAGACGAATCGAGACCTGCACGCAACATAGACAGTCTCAGGTTTAGCTCCTGCTACGATCGTGTGACCCAGGCCAGCATCCAGCATTTCATCTAAGGTAAAGGGACCGAGTTCTCCTTGCCGCCATGAGCTCAAAGTTGAAGTGAGCTTCTTGCCTGTCCCCAGTGCCCCTGCACGTGGCAGTTGGTAAGTCCGCTGGACCACTGGGCTCAAGCCAACTGGCAGCGGGTCTTTGACAAATTGTCAGCCCTCTGCCTTGGCAACCCAGCTGTGCCAGCCTTAGGAGAAGGGCTGTGCCCAGCTTGTTGGCAAGTATTGAAAGCCGATTGTCGGTGCAGATTCTTGTGCATTCCAGCGAAGGAAATGAAGAGGGTCGCAGTGCTCTCCGTGGCATATCTGCTGGGTGCTGCGGCAAGCGATGCCGCGCCCAAGCAGTACCCAGTTACGAAGGCCAGAACATGCTTGCTGGGCTTTGAAAACTCCTCCTTTGGCAGTGCATTGTGAATCCCCCAAGAGTTTTCATATGTCTGGACAAACGGTTACTTGAAGGGCCCTGTACTGGTCCAGGTTGTGAACCTGCTCAAAGACATGCAGAAGAAGCTCGAGGCCAGTTTAACTTCGAAAAGGGGTCTTTACCTCTTCTCGTCATGTCAGCGTTAGTCTGCAAGATGCCAGAGTGCACAGGCAGGGTGTGTTGTGCATGGTAGAGCAAATTCGAGGAGGAAGCAGAGAAGGATGAGGAAGTCGACGAGAAGATGAAGTGTTGGTGCAAGGCCAGTCCGGTGGAATTGGATCAGGCTTTCAGGTTATCTAGGTCCCAGCCGAAGCAGAGTTTATCCGGGATGTTGAGCTGTTTTGCTGCAACCTCAAGTGCCTGATTGTTGCAGCAGGAGACTGAGCAATCAAAGACGGAGAGTCTTGGCTTGGTAGAGACAGTGCTGGGCGTGCTTGCATTTATAGGTGCAAATAATTGAGGAGCATTGCCAAGATCCAGTCAGAAATGTCCAACCTGGGTGGCCTCATTGAGACATCCGCAGCAGACAGCGCCCGGCTGGTGTCAGAGCTCTCTGGACACGAAGAGGACTTGGCACCTGGCCTGCGCATTGAAAGTTGCGGCATCTTGTTGCCACAAAGCGTAAGACATTGTAAGAGTCTGTCAGAACCCAACATGAGACGATTCTCCTTTCTGGTGTCGAGGCCTCAAGCCAGACCTCCCTCGGCGCGGCGGAAGCCCAGCGCGAAAAGCAGCTGAACAGCTATGAGGATGAAGTGAAGGAGATGCAGGACAGTTCACGGACCTCACAACTTTCATTGGTGCCGCCTCGGTCCTGTAAGGTTCTGGGATAGAGGTCAGGGGTCGCCCAAGAGCCATTGGGTGGCAGGCGTGGGAGGGCAAGCAAATGTGAGCATCTTGATGCACTGAAGTTGCGCACAGGAGGCATGCACAATGTAGTGACAACACCTCCAGTAAAACAGAGCTGAAAAGGACGACAAAATGCATATAACTTGCGCTGTGTTGGCTGGACCAGCTTCCAGCGCTCAAACAGTGAAAGTACATACCAGCAGCAGTAGTGCCCAAAGCGGGCTGACGAAGCTTCCACGGCTGTGTGCTGCCATCACGACTCCATCAACTAATTATTGCTCCTACCCCAGGGTGAGCTGACAGACTGTGTACCGGGGCAGAACAAGCACATCCCTCGGCCCGAGAGTCCCCTGGGAGGGTAAAAGCCGGAGAGTTGGAGTCCAAGCCTTGGAACTGAACCCTTGCACAACTCTGCGAGCAAAGCCTTGGGGAAGTTCCTTCGACATCCTTTCACCAAAGGACAATTCACAACGCCCAGGTAGGCGGTAGACATTAACCTCTTGCCTTCGTGGGCCCTGCGTGATAGTCTCATGCCTACGAAGTGAGAGAGGAGTCGCTGACGGGAGTGAATGGGGCGCTTGACACCCTGTCCAAGAAGACGTCCTTTCTCTCAACTTCTGCAGCTGGCTTAATTTTTCTTGTGAAACGTGGACCGCTGGGGATCCTGGTTGCAAAGGAAGTGCAGGACTTTGGAATGTCTGAGGCATCTGCCACTGCCGCCAAGAACGAAGCCATGGAGCTTGTGAAAAAGCTGCAGCAGAAGCACTCCAATCTGCTGATGCTTGGCTGGGATTCGGGATTTTGTTACACATCCATCAAACCCTGGGATTTGTTGTGTGTCTACTGTCTGAGGATGGGTGCGATGACAAAACGGCAGAGGAAACTGATGCTTGCCATGACCTCCAAGCGCCTTGCCGTGGACGACGGCATGGAGGGTCCAGTGACAGGCCTGCTTTGGATGTCAAGTAGTGCTGCTCAAGACAGTGAACATCCCAAAGTGTAGCTTTCACCAGATGTAGTGCCTACCCCCACACTGAGATGAGACAGTGACACAGTGTGTCTTCATGTAAGCAATGAAGTGTGCTGTGCTTTGTTGACGTGTCAGAGCAGCATCCGAGAAGCTGTTCCCGTTAGCATTCATTTGGCAGTAGCAGCATTCCCAGCGGTGAAGCAGCGTCATCAAAGCAAGAAAAATGGTAGTAGGGAAGTAAAGGGAGATTGTTACTTGAAGTTGATTTGCGGAGGTTCAGGTGGACAGGCGTTACTTTTTTTGTGTCTCATTTTTCTGCAGCAGACATTCCTGGGAGGAGAAGTCATGGGCGTTCTGTCAAACATGAAGGACAAGCCCTCATCAGCACCTGTGAACAGTCTCACGTGACATGTATGCTTTCAGGACACCTTCGAGACGAACCTTAACCGAACCCGGGCAGAGGAGGCCGAGAGCTCGCAGACTTTCCAGGCCCTGCGCAAGGCCAAGGAGACAGAGATCCATGCACAGGAGGAGGCAGCATGGCAGCATGCATGCAGAGAGATGCAAACTTGCGGGAACTCAGCCTGTGGAGGCCATTGTGTCCAAAAAGACTCAGAAGGCTGAGGCAGACAAGAAAAAGGCTTGGGCAGCTGAGACGCTGCAAGACTCAGAGGCCACGATGCTTTGAAGAAATGCCGATGAACGTTAAGTTGTCTCACGCAGGCCAGCCTCTTATCCGACCAGCAGTTTCTCAAGGATGCCAAGGACTTTTTCTTATGACCTCATTCTCTTAATCTTAGCAGATTGTCTCGCTGCGAGTCGAGAAGGGCTGTAATCGGAGTACTCTAATGAAGTGAGCTCAGGAGAAGTGCGCGGCTCACGAAGCCGAATATGCAGAGCGCGTGGCTGCACGCAACGAGGAGATCACAGGCTGCTCGAAGGTCTGGCCATGGTGCCTCTTTCTATGGTGAAAGCTAACTGGAGCGAAGCTTTAAAGGCTGTGGCTATCCTCAGCGATGACTCCGCACGGGACACCTTTAGTCTGCAACTCATAGAATGTGCAGAATGAGGGTGCTGCTTGCAAGTCACAGCACGAGCCGGCTCAGGCCGAACTTTCAACGCCGGTGCTATGTTCCTACAGGTTGATACTAGCAAGGAACACCGGGAGACTGCAAGCGAAATGCTTGCAGAGGCAGCTGCGAAGTCTCATGACTCCAGGTAGAAGCCTCAGAGTTCACACATGCTCACACCCACTGCAGGTGGCTGCTCATGTATGTTTGATATTGGTGACCCTGCTGGAGGATTGCGGCCTTGGCGAGGATGGTGCGATCAGACTCGCTGGATGCCGTTAAGAAGGTGGTTGGCTCGGCACTTGCCATTCTTTCCTGAAAGGTGGGTTCATGCGGGTGCGCACATTTCTTGAGGAAATCGATAAGTTGACGGCACAGCTCCATGAAGTGCAGAAGGACGTGTTGATGTTGTAGAAGGCTCTGCATATTTCCTGAGACTTGCGATGTATTGCTTTTCGAGGACGAGGTGAAATCCAAAGACTCCTGTGTCCAGCGCCTTCACGAGAATACCATGGAGCCCTGACGTACAAAAACAGCATAGCTACATGCTTTGGGTTCAGATGTGGCGACATTGTTCAGCCATGCAAAGCGTGTGCCTATGCAGCAAAAAGAGGAGTGTTCTGCGAGGACACCGAGAAGTCAACCGTCGCTAAGACTCAGAGCGACAGCAAGTTGACAGGTCTGCAGGCCCGATGCAAACTGTTTCTCAGAGCTCCGATTTCTGACAACGCTTCATCTGAGAGACATGGCACTTTGTCGTCACGTCCTGGAGAACCTTAGATTTGATGGTGACGTCACCTGCTAGCAACCTCAGTTTGGCAGGACGCGGTCGCAACAGCGGAATCCACTGCCAAGACTCTGTCGCTGGAGATTTCTGACCTGAAGTCGGAGTTAGACACGGCCAAGACTGACATGGAACTGAGGCAGAATGAGTGCGGAACCCAGATGAGGTTCCAGTCAAGGATGCTGCAAACTCGGTAAACTGTCCGTATTGGATGCAGAATGTGCTTCTTGGAGTGGATGCATTTAAAAGCGGAGAGAGAAGTTCAAATTGGCTAGAGGTCTCATGCCATGATCAGCGACCAAGTCGAGACCCAGAGGTTGCGCTTGCCAGGGAATCCTGCAGGGCTGTTGTAGGCTTCCTTTGCTGGCCGCCTTTGTTTCAAGGCTTCTTACCCGTGCAGCGGATGTGCTGCACGGCGTCTATGGAGCTAGCCTGATCCAGGCTTTATGCTTCAGTGCATGAACCTCCCTGATAGAAGCTGCAACCCAAACTGACCTGGACTGCAGCCTATGCAGGCTTCGCAGGAGAAGCCTGAAGGCTTCAAAGACTACCAGCGCAACAGTGGCTCCGTGGGGATCATCTCCATGCTCCACCAAATTATTGGCGACGCCAAGATCATGGAGACCAAAGCAAGAGTGCAGGACTTGAGCCGTGCAGGTTTTTTTTCGCAGCCAGTGAGACGAAAAAGTGCTAGACTGAGACGGCGCCCAGGCAGACTTGAATGCCTCGCTGGACGACTACGAGCAGTTCAAAGTGGATGCCTTGGCAGCGATTTCCACCAAGGACATCTAGGGTAGCCAAGGGGCTCAGTTCTTTCTTGATCTTTCTTGATTTTGCTGCGCCGTTAGAACTTTTGCTGTTTGCAGGAGCGAAGTCTGGTAGACCTGGATGTGCAGAAGTCCGAAGCAAATTCGGATGCCTTGGAGACGAAAAAAGAGGCATGTACGCCGAAAAGTGATGCTTTGTGTGTCTCTCTCTCTCTCTCTCTCTCTATATACAGAAGAGCAATTCTCCAAATGTGAGGTGAAGAGGCTTGGGCAGGAGCTTGAGGACCTCTCAACAAAAAAGACGGCTTTGAAAGAGGCCCAAACTCATGTTCTTGGCGGCACAAGTATTCCCGGGTAGGAGAGGCGCCTGTTAGGCCTATCATTGACCTATCCTTCAAGTTTTTGCAGGAATGCGACTTCCTCTTGGCCAACTTTGAGCTGCGCCAGGATGCGCGCTCGCAGGCCTGCAAGATCTAGTTCCGAAGAGAGGGTCATGCCTTCTCAAAAGGCAAGAAGGGATTGTAAGGTTTGCGGTTTGAGAGGCCTTGGCCCCTTTATTCTCATACCTGCTTGCTAAGCTGCCGCTTTGAAAGCACCGTCATCTCATCCGGCTTCCCATCTATAGGCAGCTTGGGCTGCGGCTTGTGCACTTCCATTGTCTGGCTGTCCCTCCTTTCTGTTGTGTCTCTCTGTCCGAAGCCCTAATGAGCTATCGGGAGGTCTTGTCTTTATTGACCGGGACATTGCACTCTGTGCTATCTCTGCTGCTTTTGTGTTCCTCTCCCAGTGTTTGTGCGGAGAAGTAGATGATGTGTTCCAATGGCAGCGTGAGACAGGTAGGACAGAGCGTAGGAGCGAATCTTGCTGAGTCCCATGAATCTTTTGTCGGGTTGTCATGGCACAAGGAGATCGAAGCATTGCAGACAGCAAAAGCTGTCCTCAGCATCTTGGCTATACATATACTTTTGTTTAGGAGCTTGTGCTCAAACGAGTCACATTCGAGATGGCTGATGCATCTTTACCTAGGTGGCATGAAGGTCGATGGTGAAGTTGCGTGATTTGGAGAGTATTCTGTGCCCTTGGTGGGAATTGCATCCGAAGCCAGGTTGGCCAGAAAGAGCGTCGTACATTTGGCATGCTCTGTTTGTGTTTCTGCGCGTCTTTTCCTTCCTTGAGCTGGATTTGAGTTCGCTGGTGTTCAGCTGCCTGCTTGGTTGAGCTGCTGGCTCCTCATAGGACAAGGACTCCCTTAGATAGGTGCTTGAAGGGAGATGGGTATTGGAAGTGAGGAGTTCGGAGCGAGGAAAGGATTGCTGGACACTCATCCCACAAACAACATCTGCCGATGTGCCGCCACAGATGGCCGGTTGCCATGAAGCGGCTGCCTTACTGCCCTTAGAACCGCTGACAGACAGCCCAGACGTGGCGGAGGCCCGTTTGGCGCAGCAGTATAGCGTTCTTGCATTTTGTCCACAGCTTCAGGGATCTGGGTCTTCAAACTTGTCAGGCATGGAAGAGGCGGCGGAGAAATGCGCTGCTAGCCGTTCCAATCTTTCTTGTGCTGATTGCTTTTGTATGCTGGAGGCCGGGATCCCATTCTTCTTTGCAGTTTGGTTTAGCCCAGCACAGCACATGCGAACTTGCAGGCATGCGTTCTCGCTGCCCAAGCCGGAGCCTGTGGTCCTTCCAGATCTCCAGCAGATGCGACTTTGCTTCGTAAGGAAATCCTTATCGAGTGAGGATGACTCCACTCTTGCTTTTCCTTTTCAGTAACCTGTACCGCTTCAAGCCAAGACTCTGAGGGTCTCCTTGGCCGCTGCGTTAGATCCGGATCAGAGCGTCTTGAAGGCCCTCGGCTTGAATTTGAGCGAGGCGTTTCATCACTCAGCCTCTATTCTGCAATGGCATACTTCTGACCTCGCTTCTGACCTCAAAGGGTTGGATGGTCTGTTGGGGGTTTTCCAAGCCGAGGTCAATCGGAACCTGCAAGCGGCTGGCCTCGAGCCAATCAGAGAGGCCTCTCGGGATTCCGTCAAACACACATCCTGTGAAGACTCCGTAATTTTTGCATGCTTTTGCATTGCTTCAGGTCTTGGAGAAGACGGAGTATGACCCAAGCGCCACCATTGGGGTGGCAGCAGCTGGGCTCATACTCCCTAGGCATTAAGCACATCGTAGAAGATAAAGGTGCTTGGCTTTGTTGTTCACCGTTTAGGTTTGTGTCGTGGACGTGGGCCAGACCATCTTCCAGTTGGGTCAAGGTCTGCTGGCCATAAATGCAGCAAGGCTGAGTTGCATCAGCGGAGCCAATGTCAGCGCCTTGCCTTGAGACGGATGGCTCTAGCTATGCAGCTACATTTTTCCTGGAAATCCGTGCAACGTGTCTGGCTACTAGCTACTAGTTTGTTGAAGGTGCCGCAGACAAGCAAGTAGCAGCCTCGGTGTGTCCATGCTCTGCCTTCATGCCTACATGATTGCTGCCGGTCAACTGTTTTGCGGAGGCTTGCAGTGTGGCTGTTTCATATGCGATTGCTGTAGCCTGTCGGCAACTGGTGACTGAGTCTGTCAACTCGGGTGCAGATAGTGTATGCCATGCCCTTGCCTCACAGTTGTACATCATGAGACTACCTGCATGGAACATGCATGTGCTTCCTGAGGGCATCGTGTGGGCTGTCAGCTTTGCTACGGATGCTATCTCGCAGTGTGCAGGAAGCTTGAACCTGCAGGCAGTCTCCTGGCAAGGCAAGCTGTGCAATGCAAGATCGATTACGGAAGGGCGTCCAAATTTGTGCCTCGATTCCCCCTGCGCGGTCTGAGGCTTGTGCCACGGACCTGAGCGTTAATCTTGGCGCTTGGAGTTTTCTGTCGTCTTCCATTAGTTCTATGGTGCTGAACTGTCCTTCAAGCTGCTTGGATCAATGATGCTGCAGCCAGACTTCATGAAAGCTTGGCTCTGCAGATTACCCTTGAAGTCTCCAACGCGCTTGCGCGTGACTTGGCATTGCAGCGCTCTGAGGTGGTGCAAGTTTGCAGTCGCTGTCGATGCTGGGCTCAAGCGATTTCAACACTTGAAAGTTCTTGTTGATGGATTCGTTCCATGACATCTGTGGAAATGTTGACGTCTGACTCAGGGCAGTTGGTGGCCGACGACTAGGCAAGAGGGGATGTTGCCTAGACATTCAGCATTTGTTGTTGGGATCGAAGTGCACGAGCCCCGAAGACAAGGTGACGATGCAATAGACGTCAAGAAGCTTGCGCCAGATCCTGCGGTGGAACGGGAAGCGGAGACCCTGGAAATCATTGAGGAGGTGAAGCAAAGAAACAAAGACGAGGCAAACACTCTGCCACACAAGTTTGCCTTAGACTAAGCAGCTGCAGAATGAATCTGCTCAATTTCTCCTTCAAAAAACAATCTGCAGAAGGAGATCAGAAATGCATTGAAAGCGACTTGCTTCTTCGACATAGGCGGGAATGTATACTGAGTGCCTGGCAGTTGGGATGAAACGACGCTAAATGGGAGATGGTGGATCACAGGACAGGGTTGATGGTTAAAGTAGTCCTGATGCAGGATTTGCTTTGCCGTGCTAATGTCCTCCTGCATCGTGGCAAGGCCACGCGGCATTCTGGGCGGCTCGTGTCGGCACGAGTATTACCCAGGCTCACGAGCCTTACATGAGAAGTAGGAATGTACGTTCAACGGCGCATCCTTCTCTCTGATCGCAGGCCACTTTGGATTGCACGCCAGACAACATAGCCAGCGCAGGAGAAGATGCGAAGCCGCTCAGCTGGAATTGCTGACAATTTTCAGAGCGGCGTGTTGGTTGGTTAGCAAAGTTCCCAGGATATCCTGCACTGTGGACGTTAGCGGGGTCATTGGAGCTGCAGCCTTTCTTGGCAGCACCATCTCCTTGACTGTGGCCGGCTGTCCCGCTGCCCTTGACAAGGAGGGGACATCAGCTGGGCCTAGGCTTTCTGCTTAGAGGCTTAGCTTCTGGCATTCCTTTGGCTCACTTCCTCCACTGGAAGGATGTCACCAACACCCTGTGTGCTGCCTCCATCATTGACACAGCAACATGGCAGCAGGAGTCCAGGGCTTCCTAATGGTTTTGAGCATGTCAACATGCTATAACTCTCGGAGCTTAAGGAAGTTCTATCACTACAGGACAGCTTAGGTGGGACTCATCGGCTATTTCGCGCAATCCTTCTCCAGCATGGCCTCAACCTGTCACGAGCTGGCACAGCAAGTCTGACAAAAGGCTGCGGCAAAAGTTACTGCATCCTGAACCCCAATGTGGGTTTGCAGGCTTCCGGACCAATGTGTCTCCTCTAGCTTTGGGACTTGCCAAGGGTCAAAGTACCCCAATGTGCATGAGCCCAAAATCCAACTTCCAGATGGCAAGCTCTGTGCAACGTGCATCGCAGGATTTGACAACTGCATCTAAAGTTACCCAGCTGTCGGTTCACATTCAGGTGTTCGTTCCACGAGGCCAAAGACAAGGACATGCTCAGCAATCTGCGAGGCCAGCATCTGATTGAGAAGTAGAAGCGCTGGGACAGGGTCCCAGCCAGCACAAGAATAGCGGGGGCTCAAGAGCACTCCCAACAGGCTTGAACGTCAGTGCAAACCCCAACGTGGGCTGGCTAACCTTGACGCTCACCGACCAGTTGGAGCCCCAGCCGCTCCCAAATCAGCTGTCGTGTTGCATGTCCTGCAGCGGTGCCTCCTTGACTCATGCATCACACTTTCTAGTTCTACCTTACCGCCTTTACGCTTGCCAGCCACATAGACTAGACAAATGATTCGTCACTAGTTGAAAGGGCTTCTGTTTGGGCTTTCCTCTTGGCCAAAGCCTGCAACCCAAAACCCTAACAAAAACTCCTGGGTCCAACGCGCCATACCTCCTCCTTGTTAGACCAAACAGCCAGACAGCAATGGTGTCTTGTGTGTGCTACCTTTCCTTGGTAGTGCCTGAGCAACATACCCCTGGAACATACATCTGGAAAGTTTGTGGGAAGCATTATAATCGCAATAAAATGGCAATAAGACTTCTGGACCTGTCAACTTACCACCCCAACCCTTCAATACCGGAGGCTCTCAGATGCTGAGACATGGATGAGACATGCTGCAGAATGAGGGGTGTGGTGGGTTTGGCGGGGAGTGTGAGCGCGTCATAAGCTTCTCTGCTGCCAGCGTAAGGGACATGCAGGCTTGCGTCATAAGCTTCAAGCCCTAATCGCGCATCTCGGGGCCGTCTCTGACTTGGAAATCTTCAGGCGATTGCAGCACAGAAACCAAAGCAGCATCCCATCGTCCCTCGTCCGCGACCACACCTCTTACAAGTGGGGCTCTGCAAGAGCGTCATGAAACAGGCGATGCCCTACTGCAAGAAGCGATGGCCCAAGGTATCCTTGATGTTTGCACCCAAAGCACTGTTGGCTCATGGGGGCGCAGACGGACTTGCTGGTCGGAGCGACTCAGCACCACAACAAGCCAGATACCTGCTCATACGTGCCATGCCTCCATCATTCTTCCTCGGACGCCTGTCATGTGGCCCCCTCAGATAGCGCGCAAATAGCTTTTTGGGGTGTCTCACGGACGAATTTGCTGCAAATGACCTGGACGGCCTTCCTGGGGCTGAGCGTGCTCTGTCCTGCAATCCTGTTTGTGTCTTGGTCAGTGCAAAACTGCACTTTGCCCCCCAACCGAATCGCAGCAACTTAGGCATGTCCGTGGAGCCGCGGAGGCTGGGCACATGGCAGATTTTGCATTGTGTTTGCTCGACAGAGCCTGGTGTTAGCAAGGAGCGTTTGTGGGCACTGGCTCGTCCAGCTTGAAACTCATTTTCTATGTTTACATGATCCAGGGAGTCCTGCATTGTCCTAAGGTCATGACCTTCAGGAATTTCTTTCTCTTCCATTTGCCCTCGTCTCAGCATGTCCCAGCAATCCTTGTCAGCGCTCACAGCAGTCGTCTCCAGCCTCTGTCACGCTGACAGGAAACACACCAAGAGCTATCTGCACTCCAGGCATCACGCGCCTGGGTTCAGCTTTTGTTGTGGAAGTTTTGAGTGGGCTCTGTCTATGCGCTGCTTAGACACTTCCGAGCTTGATCTTCGGTACTTGCCAGACATCAAGCTGTAAAGCACAAAGCTCATTTCAAAGTTTGAGTTTACGGCCTCGATCTCACATTCTGCAATGCTACACATGCTCTTGCACAACTGTATGCATCTGGGAGTGTACTGCTAACACCTTCATTTGGCTTGCAAACCCTGTGATAAGCTTTCCGACAATGCCAGGCTTCGGAAACGACTGGACCACTGGCAGCAGCAGATCAGCAAAGCTCGGCGACGGAGAGCGCAGGCCTACTGCCGGTCCAATTTCTAGGCTGTCGCCTTCATTGCGACGGCAACAACTCAGCAGAAGCTGCTCGCATTGTCAGATGCCCATGGTAGCAGTGGTGTCGGTGCAACCTTGTTCAAACCAGCTCTGCCCTGGAAACCTTGCGGCTTCAGCCGGAGGGGAGGATCCATAGCTGTCGAGGCTTGTGCATCCTTTGAACGGTGCTTGCCTCACTGACCCTGCCTTTTTTTAGGATTGATTTGGTTTGCTTTAGCAGTGAGTGCAGGGATGGCCTTCAGGGTATGGAAAGCTGCGAATCAAACTGATATATCGTAGCAGGTGGGCAAACGTGCCTCTTCCACAGGAAGCTGATGGATTTGAGGGGGATCGGAGGATCTTATGTGTGAAAAGCATAATGTTCGATTGGTCATTGTACGAGTAACATCATGCTTGGTTGTTGTATGAAATCTCCTTACCCTTTCTATGGGTTCTATGGTCATGGTGCCTTGATGGTTGCATCGAACTCTTTTCTCCTGGTATCGTTCTCTACCCTTGTGTGGTCATGCTACGAGTAGCATCATGCGTAGTTGTTGAATGCAACCTTCCTGTAGCTGATTGTTTTGCAGATGCTTTGCCGTTTGAAGTGTTGGGGTCCAGGGGTCCAGGAGGTGACCGAACTCGAAGTGCGTGTGTCCGCAAGCATCCACAAAGTTTGCGCCAGCTTTCGCGAGCCTTCGCAAATTTGCAGACGTTCGTGAGATCGCTATCCTCGTGCGTGTCTTGGGTTTTGAAGGGCCACGTCTTTGTTGCGCGTAAAAATAGTGCCAGCAATGAGAGTGATGGGGCCTCCTGGGGTCGCGATCCTCGTAAGTGTCCCGCAAGTTTTGGAAAGTCGCGTATTCATCACCGTTGTCACATGCGCTCGGTGCGCTCGTAATTGCCGTCCCATGTCGACGGTGCCAACAGTCGCGGGCTACTGTAGGGGCTTCTCTGGGCTGCCATTGTTGTTACTGGCTCGCTGTGGTTGGGATGGGGATTGTCGGGGTCGCCATCCTTGTAACTGTCCTGTTTTGTGCCTTTGCAGGGACGAGGCCGCTGCCAAAGCCTGCCTAGCTTTTGTTTGCATCGGCTTGCCCCTCGAGTAAGGTGCAACTATGGCTTCGCGCTTCTTGACGACGCTAATTCTGTGTGTCGTTTCCCCAGGTGCTGGTCATGATGGCAGTTCTGATTTCGACAATCTCGTGTGTTTCACTGGCCTCAAGGTCGCTGCCTTGTTTGTGGGGCAGAGGGCCCTGGAAGCCTTCGTGGCACCAGCAAAGCAGGCGGCTGCGCCATTCCCTTCGTGCCAAGAAATGAAGCAGATTGCATGTAGCGCAGTTGCACGCTGCAGGCTTCCCTGCGATCAAGGGCACCTGCAGTCTCCATGCAGTTCTTCCAGAAGGAGGCACTCTGCTCGAGTGGCACAGTCAGAGCATTGTGCCTGCGATTTTGAAGGAGGCACCTACCCCGGCACCCACACCAGAGCCATCGAACCCGCAAAATCCTGGCAGCTCATCTCAACTTGCAGGATCTCTTGATTCGAAGGATTTTGAAGTGAACAGCCAAGGAGAGTTCATTGCCGTTGCTGTCCTTCGCTCAGTGTGCAGGGGTTCACGCGAGTTTCGATCAGAAGTGTAGCAGGTGTAGCAGGCAGCCTTTGTCATGGCCAGATTGGGATCATCATCATTGCAGCCCCCTTCCTGGCTTTCAGCCCGCCGGATGATTCTGTGAGCGACTTCGTTGCCCGAGAGGTGCGCCAAAGCTGTCAGGATTTTATTCTCAATTGCTGTTAAAGCACGAGCAAAGTTTTTGGGTTGTCAGATTTTAAGACGTATGTGTTCCCTCGCCCTCCGTGGAATGCCGAACCGCGGAGTGTCGCTGTGGTGTCCTACTGCAGATTATCCCTGCAGTGCCTCAGTGCCCAACCGCAGAGTATCCCTGCGACGTCCAACCGCAGGGCATCCCTGCAAAGCCCAACCACAGAGTATCCTGTTAAAGAGATGCCTTAGGCAGTCCTTAGGCATGATGAAAACTTGCTTTTATTTCCGGGAGATTGGCTAGTAAGATTACACCTCATCGGTTAACAACCCCAAGTGCTGGACAACCACACTTTCGGGTGGGAATGCTCAAAGTAGTAACTTCTTGCATGCAGCAAGCTGCATTCGCTTCGCAAAGAGTGTTGATGCAAAAGATTGGATTGGCACATGCGTCAGGCATCGGTGCAGACGCCTTCGTGAGATTTGAATGAATCTTGGGCGGTGCTATCTAGTTGACGGCAGATGCATAATGCACAAAGAGATGTTTCGAATATAGATTTTCTGCGTCTTGACGCCGGGTTTCGAAGAAAAGGAGCTTTGCTTGCCTGCAGCTTTGCCGTGTGACGTATCATGGTGTTGCCAACGCAGCTTCTTTTTTTTTTCGTGCCAGCCTCAGCACATTGCCACAGGAGAAGCGCCGACTCATAAGCGGCAAGGCTGGCAACAAACAGAGATCTTGCGATGGGTTTGGATTCTTCTTCTGGCTTGTGCTGTGAACGGACAGCTCTGTTCCATTTGTTGCCGTGCTGCTGCCTGCCTCAATCGAAGCACGACTGCAGGAGTTTGTTCCTCCGTCACGCGGTGCGGCATGACAGCGGGACGCTGTGACAGCGTGATTGTTTCAAAAGAGCTTTGGAGAAGATTGTTCCGGAATTTGTGTCCAGCGAAGCGCAGACTTACGACGCCCGACAAGAGAGGGGTAGGTGTCTGGCTGCGATCTTGATAATGTGGAATTGGGGTGGGGACTGCCACTTGGCATTGTAGGCCGTCATGACTGCTGCAAGTCAAGAGACGGTGCATGTACCGCTGCAAGATACGCTGTCCGTGGCTTTTCGGCTCCAGATGCAAACACCCTGTTGATTCCTGTTGGTGGCAGGTTTCAACGTCAGGGCCTTTTGTGTGAAGCTTTGGTTCGTGGCATTTTGGTGGTGCAGACGCTTTTTAGCTTGAAGTCGGAGGCATGGCGGCTGCTCGGCCCTCGCCATCTGTGGGTTCACAAGGACCCATTGCCGCATCCTTATCCGCTGCTGTGCCCAGACAAAATAGCAATCGTCTTGCAGATGGTGATCAATCAGCAGGATATCAATGCAGGATGACTAGAGGGGGCGATTCCGGCTTGAGGTCTCTTAGTTGGGATATATTGGGATTCCTGAGTGAGAGAGCGGTAGAGTGGGAGCTTTATGTCTGTCTCTGTGCATGAGGTCACGCGACGCGTCGGAGGCAATGCCGCCAGTGGCCCCAAGGAGCTGTGCAATGTTCACTCCATAGAGCAGCCTCAGTATACAACGATGGCTGAGCACACACCATTTGCAGGCTTTGCAATCGGCCACTGCCAATACTACCGCCAACTCCACATCTTCACGCTTGAAGCCCACGATTCGTCAGACAATCGAATCGATCACCAGCACAGGCAGTCAAGCGGAGTTCCTTGGCAAAATGGTTTTAAGGGAGACACAGAGTGGAAGCCGATCCATGCGCAAGCTGCGTTTTTCTAACATGCTGTGGCATTCCTGGTGTTGCGGTTCTGGAGGTACTTCAGACCGGATCAAACGATTATTTTGTTTGACTGGGATGATACATTATGCCCATCAAACTGGATTCGAGAGGACCTGGGTTCGTCATTCCTACTTCTGCTTCTTGAGATGCTAGTGCGGTCAGTCCTCATCCAAAATCAGTGGCGCCATGCTGGATGTGTGCAGCTTTCTACGGCCAGATGCGCCAGCACAAAATCCCAACAGCAGTTGCTGTTGCGCTCAGAAGGCTTCCATCCCGTAGCGCAAAACTCAAGATGCTTCTGCGCAGAACCGGCCTGCGTTGAGCTTCTTCAAGCCATGCCCGGCTGATGAGAAGTGCTCCGGGGATAAGCACGAATAGCAGTTGCAAACGCACGTGCCACATCTGCCACATCGGCTTCAGGTACCAAAGACCCCTCAGGGAACTCCAGAAGCATGTGGAGGCACGTGATACAAGGAAGAGGCTGTTAGCGGAGTGTTGCCAGACTGAATGCAGGCAACCTTGAAGCTTGCCATGAAGATGGGCAAGGCGCGTTGATTGTCCCAGCAAGAGGTGTCAGTGCAACAGCCTGCGGCATCAATTCGGAGATCCTCTGTTGACATGGCTTCTTGTGCATGTGCAGGTAATTATTGTGACCAATGCCATGGAGCCTTGGGTGGAGACATCCTGCAGGTGGCCGAGCAGTTTGTTGCGCAAAAACTTGCGAACCATCCAGCCGCTGCCAGGAACTTCCTGCCTGCTCTGGTGCCAATTGTGTCGCAGGTGCAGGTCATTTACGTGCCTTGGCATCAATTAAGGCCGTCTTCAGCTCATGACAAACAGGCTGAGTTATTGGGCTGCGCTGTCGCACGCTGTTGCTGGTACTTTTTCAATTGTGCTCTTAGGCCAGATCAGTTTTTGACACCATGACTTGTGAAGCAGCAAAGAAGCAGGCAGAATCTTGGACAATCATCAGATTATTGCCTCGGAAGCCTGATTTGTGCAGGCACGTGCATCGTCACCTGGCCGAGCACTGCCGGGGCTTTATGCTGCGAACGGCATGAACAAGGTGCGACAGGTTTAACAACAGGTGCAGTTGGAGTCAACAGGGATTCGTACCAATGCCTTACCAGTTGGGCGGGTCCAGCCAGCGCATGGCTGCCGCGCCAGCATGGCACCCAGTGATGCATGAAAGTGCGGCGTAGAGGATCACAGAGCTGTATCACGCGCCTCTATCCAAGGTTGACGAGATGGCTCCACAGAGATGGAAGGACACTTGAGGAGCCCAAAGTCTGAGTTTTCGATAAAAACAGATCCACCAGGAGATTGCCTTCGAGCAAGAGATCAGTGGGTTTTACTCCCGATATGCTCATCAGAGTTGGAAGAACATCATCTCCATAGGCCCTTTCGGAGGCAAATTGTCTACTTGGTACTTGTGATCATGCCCCAAAAGGTGATTCAATTTTCGAACGTGACGCGGTACGGCGTGTGGTGATCAATCGGCCGACGGCAAACAGAAAGCCGGGGGCTCAAGTCTAGATTGCAGCAATTGCTAGTAGCATGCTGTTTGTAGAGGCAGGCAAGGCAAGTATTGATGGGCCGCTTCATAGTCTTTGTCTTTTGACGGCCCTGTTGCCGTCTTTGCAGTTCACCATTCGAGTCAATGACAAAGCCAAGGTGTCGAACCAAGACTGCCAAATTGCTAGATGAGCCAGAGATTGATGAATTGGTTGCCCAGGCCGCTTGAGCAGTGTGCACAAGGAAGAAGCTGGAGACATTATGGCTGTACACACCCGTAGGTACGTGTCATTCATGACGCGCTGGGGTTGATGGTGCAGTCTGCGCCTGAGCTTAGGGAGGTCTTGGTTGAGATCTCAGGCTAGGCTGCCACCTCTGTTTTCTTCAGAGCTGCGTGGTGCCAGGTATGATGGTAACCTTGACATTGAGATTGACGAGGAAGACCTCAAGCTGGATCTCTCCCTCGTGCCTTGGCTTCATGCATGGCAGACCTGCAGAGCGACCATTTGCAGAGTTTTGCGAACCAACGCCTTAATTTCAGGCGGAGAAGATCATGGACAGGTGAGGTTTGGTCATCTTGTTCGCTTCATTGTTTGTTCATCACGAAGTTTCGATTTTAACGTGATCATGTGGCGGTCAGCCCGGCACTCCTATGGTTGAAGCCATAAGAGCAGCCATGAGCATGGCTCGGCTGACCTAGTGTTGTCCTTCCTAACCACCCCATCATCACATCATCTCTCGATTATATGAAACTCAGCACGTAGTGACGTGGTACTGCATACATAATCAGGAAGTGGTAGCAGGAAGTGTTTCTTGTGGTGGGAACTTGTGCCAATGTGAGCTTTTTTTTTGGGGCTACGGATGAATGCCACCCATTATCAGAACAATGCAGTGAATCATTTGTTGTGCAATTCAGCTGTTCAGTGGCATCCTGTAGCCTTGCATTGGATTCCCACAAGTGAGTCTCAAAGAGATCTCCCCAAAACCATGTGCACTTCCGGAGGAAGCTTGGTTGAAGTGTCATGAAGGATGCTTGCCCTCAACTTCCAAGTACATAAGTTCCGCGCAAGATAGATATCCTGGCAGACATTTCTGATGCGGAACGCCGCGTGCATGGCCACGAAGGGCCATGCACAAAATCAGTTTCTGCCGCCAAAAGGGTCGGTCCTACACAGGATTTCTTGGTAGTTTGGATGGCAAGAGAGCTTGGGGGAGTTTGATGAGCCAAGTTAACCCAACATAATCTGGGACGCCGAAGCAAAGCAGATGCGCAGCAGCATGCGACAGAATCCTTCGTCATTTGCACTTGAACTGCCCAGGCCGCCTGAAGGGTAACTGCAGGGGTCCAAAGGGAGGGGTGGGCTGAGGAGACATAAACACATGCACCAAGCTTCATACTGCCACGAAGGACCAGTTCCGCGATTGCAACGAACTTGCCTGCAAGCTAAGATTAGAACGGTCGAGTACACATCACCACTATCATTTGTCTTCGGGTCAAAAAAGGCCGATTTTGCAAGGCAGACTTGCTGACGCGGAATTCGACAGCTTGTTCCTCCATCACTGGGATGACACGTCGCTGCAGCTGTGCACGCATTTAAGGCAGGGCATCCTGCATCTGTGAACGCACAATGCTTGACGAAGCGCAGTGCCCGTGCGCAGCGTATTCCGGACCTCCAACACTCGCAAAGTGATTGGCTTTTTAACTAAAAGATCAGGAAGTATGTGCTCAAGAATGCTTTATGCATAGGAGGCAGAATATCAATGTATTTCGAATTTTAAATGACATAATTGAGTTTTATACGGAAACATTATCTATTGTCATTTTTTGAAATAGAAGACTTCAATTTTATTAGACCAATAGAATATGAACATAGATTTGTTGGCCTGGGAAGCTACGATTTGAGAATCATCTTTGACATTTGAAGCAACCTTAAAAGTGATTCGTATAGGCACATGATGGGGCGGTGCTGACGTGTGGACGATCTTCCTATGCACCTCCGCAACCGAAGCAGATGCAGGGTACAAATACCTCTCCTGATGGGGGGATGTGGACTAGCAGGCAATGATCCGATCCGGACGGGAGGTTGGTCCCTGCCCGTTTCCAAGCAGGGGCCACTGGTCCTGGGCGCTCCGTTGGGCCGCGACGCGTGCGTGCAGAGCTGCGTCCTGACGAGGGTGGCAGCAGCTGGGCACGGCAGCTGCTTCTGTCGCAGGAGGGGGTTCACGCTGCGCGAGCAAGTGACTCACAGCCTTCCTGACTGGCCCCGAGTTGACCATCCCTTCGCGGCAATGTCGGTGCTTGTTGTTGTAGTTGTTGTTGTTGTTGTGCCGATTGCGTATGCCCCTGCCCGCTGCGCCCTGCACCTGTGCATGCCGAGGACGCTTGGATCCGTTTGGCGATCACAAGACAGCATGTGCAAACTCAGGGACCTCGCCTCATGGGCGCTGCCCTTGGAGCGCGCCTTTGCGCATGTGTGCCAAGAAGTGGGCACCCTTGTGGCGCGCAACCTGCGATTGGCAGACATGAACATTGAAGTGCCGGTCTCTGACGATTGCCGCGCCTTGGTCTTTTTCCGATAGCGTGAATGAAGTTGCTTTCTGCCGGCAGGACATACCGTCTGCGTTGCAACCCCGCCCGAGGGCTCAAGTCGTTCAGACATCGCGCATTTCACACCCGCAGGATCCCAATCTGCCCCTCCGCAGCCACGAGCACCCCGTAGGTCCGGGCCGCCAAAGTGTTTGACAAGTCCTGGTTCAAGAAAATTAACGGCTTGAGACCTGCACGTGGAGCCTTGGGCAGGCGCACCGACCTTAACTGCCCACGGTCTCACCTCTGTCCGGTGCCGCCCCAATTGGAAGCCGTGTGGGCAGAAACGCGCCGCTCTTGAGCATCTGTCCGTGAAACATTGATTAGATCCTGTTTTAGACGTATGCATTGTGCATCCAGTTCCTCGCGCTCCTCTTCAGAAGTGGAGGGGTAGTCCCACGTCGCGTGAGGTCACACATCCCTCCATTCCAAGCATGTGGCATGTGTCTCACGCCAGTGCCTGTCCAACCATACGGCCCTGCAGGGCCATTTGCTTTGCGCTAAAAGGCTTGAAGTGACGAGGAGACAGGAAGGCAATCAGAAACTAAAGGAGCAGGAGCAGCAGGAGGAGCAACAGCAGGAATAACAGCAGAAACTGCACAGGGAGCAAAAACTTTTACAAGTGAGCGACGTAAAGCGCCCCAGCCAGGCAAAAGGTAACCCACGGCCATTAGACGCCCCCATCGGCAGAAGGCACGCCGCATAGGCAAAGGGCACCTAAACCCTGGAGACGCCCTCATCATGTCTTGCGTTGCAAAGTTACCAAAACTAACAAGCGGTGTGCGAGAGGCAGGGTGCAGCTCTGACATCATGGCACGCCTCCAAATTTGTAGGCCCAAATCCCATGTAGACGCTTCTGTCACGTCATGCATTCCAATATTAGTAAGAATGACACATTGCGTGTTCAGTGGACTGCAAACCTAGGATACCTAGGCCGCCCATAGCGTGATGCGATGGATCTTCCTGCTTGCTTCCCTCGGCTTGCAACACCTCGTGTCCTTGACCATGCCCGTCGTAGTAGCATAGCAGCATAAACGCTGGGTTGGCCATAAAACATATTCACGCAGAGTAGCAGGCCCGCGACGAGGTGGTGCCCTTTTCGCGGGCAGCGAAGGCCTCCCCACACGTAACGGATGCCAAAAAAGGTCACAGGCCTTTGCTGCGGCAGCGGCTGTTGCCGCATGGCAGGCGGAACCAGCGATCCAGTGGACTGTGGGAGGAGGCATGGCGTTTGCTCCTTGTATCCGCGCCCATTGCCACAAACGAGCCGGTCACGGCCCTCCGCCCTAGCGTAAAGGCGTTGCTCGCGGACCTCCACCGGCTGCCAGGGCTGCCACGCCGGCTGGGACAGATGCATTTGCCTGATGTCGCGTCAGTGCTGCGCGAGCGTGACGCCTTGCCCAATCGGCCCCACTTGCGCGCTATGGCGGTCCGCATTTGGCAGGCAGCTTGGATTGTCATTCCAGGCGTTTAATAACGCATGCCCTCCAGCACGACGCCTCATAATCACGTTTTCAGACAGTGAGGGCAAGCTGCCTTGCCCTCCGGCGCAGCCACGGGCAAGCATGGAATTGGTGGGCACCCTTACCTAGCACGCGCAGATGGTTGGGGTGCCTTCTTTCGAGTCGTGGGTCTGGCCATACAGCAGCTGATGTGGAATTTCATGTGAGTTCAGCTGCATTCTATGCAAATCGGCAGGCACCGTGCGACAAAATGTTTTGATTCTAGACCGCTTACGGTACGCTGTCGTGTCACCCATAGCTTGCTTCGCTGCAGGGCACCGTGCTGTGCGTCAAGGGGATTTGAATCAATATTGGATGTTTGCTTTGCATGTTAATCATCTCCCTTGTGACTGCTGGGTGAAACGGGTTTTGGCATGGCAACCTGTTGGAGCAAGCGGGGCGGGCAGGCCCAGGCATGCATGGAACACAAGTGTTGAAACATTCTCGCGCAGGAAAGGTTGGAACGAGTGAGCACTGTGGTCAAGCCATTAATATGTGATTTTCACGCTTCGGGTTCAAGAATGAAATTTCCTGAAAGCAACTTTTGTACAGGTAGTTTTGTGCGAAGTTTTGGTGTGAGACTTGTGTGACCCCCTGTGCCCTGAAGGGGCCGCATTCGGGCGTACAGGCGATCTGTCTTGACCTAGAAGGGCTTCCATTCCAGACCCCGCTCACGCGCGTGTCCCTTGCGTCTGTAGCCAACCAGGCTTGGGATGACATGACATGTGATTGACATTCAGGTGCAGAATAGGCAGGTCAGCAGTAGGCAGTGCTGCACATAGATGCAGCAGGCTCATGGATGAAGCTAGGTCTGGAAGATCGAATTTGACCAGATCACGCAGGATGACATGGTGTTCTGCGGGCTGCTTCCCCGTTTCCACCTGAGCCTGTTGCAGCGGACTGCCTCCCCGGTTCCACTTGAGCCTGTTGCAATGCACGTCCATGTGGACCAATGGCACGCAGCGCAATCTCGAGGCAGCATGCTTTCAGCGTCTTACAAGCTATGGTCCTTTTTCCTACATGCTCCTGTTTTTTGAATCACTTCGATGACTACCCTAGAATGCGCTGCAGGGGGCCAAAGGACCTCGTAGCGCCAGGGAGGGTTTGCCATCTGTTATATGTTCTCAACGGTTCACACACGCAACAGGCACCCCGTAACGCAGAGCGGCATTTTCATTTTCGGCATGCTCTCTTCTGGGAAGGCCCCTCCCCGCGGCCTGTGAAGTGGTGGTCTCAAAGGCCCACAGCACGGCTCAGAGGAGACCCTGACATCCCCAATGCGAAGCACGTCACTGTTCACATTTTCCGGCTAGACGCTTTTCCATTTGTTCGATACGTCCCAGTTTTTGATTTGACTCGACATGTCCCGGTCAGTGCCAGCAGGAACCCTTTTTTGCAACTGCCAGCGGCGACCCATCAAAACGGGCAAGCGGCTGTTTGGCACACGCTGCATGCCACGTGCGTCCGCCAGCAGTT